CCCGGGGTTAGTACATCCAGACCCAGGGAAGGATCCCACCGCTGAAAACATACCCCTGTGAGCGGACAGGAGGAGGCTAGAGGCTGGCCACTCGGGTTTGTAGTAATAGCGTTTATTAAGGGAGACTTACCCGGCGTGTGTGGGGCAGCTGGGAGGGGAAACGGGTCCCTGCGCTGCCTGGCAGATGCCGAGCATTACACAGGGTAAGGCAGGGAAGTCGCGGGCGCTGGTACGTGGGCGCTACAGGTGCAGGAGCGCACATGGCGACCCAGTCAAGGCTCAGCCCCCCGGGGCCAGCGCGGGGGCGGGAGGCGGGGCGGGCCGATTTATGTCAGAATGAACACTGACTATGACCACAGTCCCCAAGGGCGGTGCTGGGCCAAGCAGTCTCTGCCGGCGCGGGCCAGCTTGTGGGTCCGGCAGTGGTCACATCATGGAACAGTCGCTCCTTCATAGCTTTTCAAACTATCTGTGGTAGAGAATCAGGTGTTTCGTTTCATTTAAAAAGTAGTTCCATCATGTATTGATATTTTTATAAAATATAGAAAATGACATGAAAAAGATACAAAAGACAAACCACATTTTACTATAGTTAAATAGGTGACTGTTAAAATTATAACTATAAACATTTCTAAACTCTTACCCTCCGCTTCTGTACTTATTTCCTGGGATCGAAAGCAGGCCGTTCCTGGGCTACACTCAGGGCAGCAGCCCGTCCTGAGGCCCAGCGCAGACTCCGACTGGCTGCTGGGCAACCGGTGGGCCCCCGGGGCCGACCCGCACGAGGGAGGAATGAGCCCACGTGGGCACCCTGTGGGGAGCTGCAGGCGAGCACTTGTTGCCAACCACTGTTTAAAAATTAGATGACAAAAATCCAAGTTTCTCTTCCCTAGGAAGATGAGCTCTGTTCACACTGCCCCCGCTCTCTTACCGTCAGCTGCTCTCTAGTTTACCGCAGCCCCTCTGCCCCCTTGGTCACCGGCCTTGTTCTCTAAGCATTTGAGTTTGCCACCCCTAGGTGGGCATTAACTCCAACTTTATAAAGAAAATTGAGGCTCAGGCAGAACAAGTAACTGCCCAATGTTAAATAGTGGCAGAGGCTGGGTTTCTAACCTGGATATTTCAAATAAATTCTATACTCTTTCCCCTGTACCGACTGATGCGATGAATTCACCTATTTCATTCTTTCTCTGCTGTGCCATGAGCCAGTCTATAAGCTGTAAGTGTGTGTTACTCAGGTGTGGGTACTCTGTGCCCCCAGGCTACAACAGCCATACAAATTATATTATCCTTCCTGCTCAAAAGTATCTGCCCCAGACTTTGCCACATATTGTGTTTGTCCAAGGACCATCTTCTGTGACACTAACTCAAAGCCACTTGTCTTCTTATTATTGTGCCCAAAACACAGGATTATACTTTTTTTATTTTTAAAGTTTTTATTGGTTTTAGAGAGAGGGAAAGGAAGAGAAACATTGATTGGCTGCCTCCTGCATGCCCCCCACTGGCAATCAGGGCATCCACTGGCGACCTCTTGGTGGATGGGGCAATGTTCCACCCACTAGGAACACGGGCCAGGCAGGATCAAACTCTAAGTGCTGCCTGCACTTTTAATTTTATTAAAAAACAAGCAAACATTTTCAACATATCAAATGCTTTAATTCACATTTCTGTCTGTAGGCAATGACCACAGTGCAGACCCAACACAACAAAAGCAATTAACACAGGGTAATTAAGTGGTAGGTACACAGCAGTGGCCAGAGGGGCAGAAAGTGCAAGAAGCCACTTTCTGCTTATGTGGAGACCTACAAGTGTCCTCAGTACTGCGGATTCAGGGATCGGATTCAGTCAGTTCTCCTGCAAGGGTGACCAGGGCCAAGGACATGGGCTGCTCTAAACTTGCATGAAACAATTACAAATGAGTGCCCATTTGCCTGCAGGGTGCACGTAAGCAGATTCAAGTCAACAGAGGCTGCTGGCAGGGCCCAGAGCAGGAGTAATGAGGGCAAATGTCCTTATGAGTCATTGTCATCTAGCTGCACACAGGCCCTTCCTCACCCCAGGAATTTTCTGATAGCCCCATCTCATCTGAGCTTGCTGGACGACGCTGGAGGAACAGGAAAAGCAGCCTAACTTTCCAGCTCCCTCTCCAACATTCCATGTCAGGCATCAAAAAGTACCATGCGGTGGGACTTTCCTAAGTTATGGCTTATCTTCTGGTGTGTTCTGCTTTGACACTGTCCCTTCAATGTCCAAGGTGAGGTAGCCCGGGGGCCCTCGTCTAAGATACACTTCACCTTCCATCTTAGGGGGTGACATTTTTTGGATTCTTCCTCCAGAACCTTGGAATATACCTTTTTGAGACCTGCAAGCCTCATGCACTGACTACAGTCAGGGCCCTGGGGGTAAACGTGTGCGTGTGTGTGTGTGTTTGGGGGTGTGTGTGTACATACGTAACTAAAATACATACATACACCATTTCTATACTTTAGTAAAATTAGAAATATGAGGAACAGAGGCTAAGCCAGGGCTTCACTATTCAACAAAATGCCTTTAAAACTTGTGAAACAGCCAAAGTGCAACCATATTCCAAGTAGCAACTGAGACCTCCAAATTATTCTTTTCACCAAAAATATGAGGTTTCTGAATTTGTAAAAATCAGTAGGAAATTAACCAGCTGACAGAGTCATTAGAGTAGTGGCCTCCAAACCCTTAGAAAAACTCGAGTATTTTCTTTTTTTTAAAGAAGGACTTTGTCTCCTGAAATCTTATCTTAACCAGCATGGGCGCAGTGACTGAAGTGAGCACGCAGGAGCGCCGGGCACCCACTCCACTGGCCCTGAAGGACTTACTGCTTGTCCTCCAAGACTCCATGGATCATGGTCCAAAACCTGTGGTTCCACCTAAGAATTGGAGCCACCAATTTTTATGTAATAGAGTTTAGATAAGTATGTCAATTTGGGTAGGATACAAGCAAGTTTTCCCATGCAGTTCCTTTAAAACATTTGGGGGGAAGAGGGTAGTTAGTGAAGAAAAAACATCAAATTAATTCAATTTTGCTGCATGGTATCCATCTGGCAGAAGCCCTGGATGAGCACAAGAGGTACAGGCGATAGCTTTAAGCTTTCACTGTGCACCCGAAGTGCTGAGGGGCTGGTTAATAAACCGGAGATGCCCATGTCCCACCTCCAGACACTGACTCAGGAAGTCAAGGGTGCCGGGCTTAGGCGGCCAGACCTTCACCCAGCTCCCAGCTGGTTCTGACGCCGCAGACAGCCTGCAGATCATTCTCTGAGAAAGAAGAGGAGCCTTAAAGGGGAAATTTGGGAAAGGCAGGGGCACACTAAAAAGCAAAACCAAAATGGTCTCTTCCTTCTTGTTGCAGAAAAAACACCTGAATTCAGATTGGGGTACAGGGGATATAGCTCAGTGGTAGAGCATTTGACTGCAGATTGGGGTACAACAGCAACTACTACTTTTTTTTTTTTTAATTTCTAGATTTTTTAAAATAAATCTACCCACATCCCATTGTCCACAATTAGGCAGAATTAAAAAAATTCTGAACATAAAGTGCTAGTTCTTGCTTTGATATTATCATTTCAAGGGAAAACCACACAGAACTGTCACCCATTCTATTGGGCTTTTCGGCTGAACAAATAGAGATGTGTACTCGGATCCACATGAATCTGTACATTAATACAGCCTTCAAAGTTTTCTAGTTGGTGCTGATTTAAAATTCCATAATATACATTAAGTACAATTTTAGTTTATATTACAAATGCAAGCTACCTTTTCTTGACGTGCTGGTATCATTTTTATAGCGCAAAAAGGACTTTACAATTTCTGAGTCACAGTATATTTTACAACTCTAAGGAGGCAAACATGTCTCAAAAAGCAAATACTGTACATGTTTCTGACACACCTTAAGAAATAAAAATAATTTTCACTATAAAATTTTTATAAACATTAGCGACGTTAAGGGTTCACAGCTAATTGTTGCAGGAAACCTAAAACGCACTTAAGGTCATGGAATCTTCCCACTAGACAACCTGTATTTTAAAACACAGGTCAGTGTGATTTCTATTAAGTGAACCAAGAGCGGAAATGTTCACCGTTTACCTATGTAAGGAGGGATCCGTGAGCTGCCAGAGGTTCAGCCGCTAAGCTTACCAGGAGTTAGGAATGGAGGAGGCCAGTAACAGATGGGAGAAAGTGGAACAGACATGGAGACATGCTTTATTTCGTATATTTCTTCCTGAGAATATAGAAGCTATTATTTAAAAAAAAAAAAATCTAGACAATTTCAAATGGAACAGAAAAATCTTGGGGCAGATTCTCTCTTATAAAGTGTAGAATCCCTGGTAATGTAAACACCTGCTACCGTAATAATTTGCAAACATGAGTCTTGTAAATTATAATTATTTAGAGCACATGCCTATATATGTATTTGAAATGCCAGGTAGATGTGCGAAGAAAATGAATTTTGCTAAAGTAAGATGGTTTATAATAGGGTATTCCGAAGTGACTTTACTAAATAAATGTGAGGTCTGAATGAGTGACTAAGGCAGCAAATTCTATAAGGGTCAGCAGGAAAAAGAAAGCTCCCTGGCTTATGAAACCGGAAAACCAATTTGTTTAAATAAATGAGGGGGTTGTATATAAACCTGTTATAAATCCAATGTGACATTATGGTTAGAGTTCCGTTTTAACAAAAAACCCCCCACTATGTAGCTATTTTGATTATTTTAATTCTGATATCCCAAATTAACTACATACGTTGATTCTATAATTAGCACTACGAATTATAGGTAAAATAGAGTCTAAAGCAAAGTGAATTGAACGGAATACAGGGGTGGGCAAAAGTAGGTTTACAGTTGCTTATATGGAAAATAATACAGTAATACATAAATAATAATATAAGAATAAACTTTCACGTACTCACAACTGGAAACCTACTTTTGCCCACCTGTATTTGTAAAAGGTGATATCTGTAACAATTCTGACGCTGAATTAAAGAATAAAACTCATTATACTCCAAGCATGATCAGCCGTGAAAGAAAATCCATGAAATTCTCCCATCACTGTGTAGGTGTAGTGTATGAAGAAGGTGGGAACAGATCCACTCCCGAAACTCTCTCAGTATTGGAACTTAGCACTTCCTGTTGAGGTCTGCAAGAGGTTAATTTCAGCAGAATGGAAGTATTTTATATAATATACTGACTACTGTAATTAGCATTAGGTTGTTCATGGGCCTGCAGGAGACTGAAGTTTAAGTTTACCGCAATTCATAGGTGATAGAATCATAACAGCTCCTTAAGGAGAGCTAATGATGTTTTGGGGGATACATTTTAATCTTTCAGAGATTAATGATATGAAAGCCCAGCAAGCACACAAACAGGCCATTTGTTAGAAAAACACCAGGCTGGACGCCCAGTGGGTCTGCTGAAGCCTGGGATGGAGGGAGCAGGTTGGTTAACAACAGAAGAGCACCCCCTACTGGGTAACCATGAGACGAGCTCTTCAGTAAGTTTTTGGCAATTGAGGGTCAAATAAAACAATGAAATAGAACATTCAGTTTTCCAAAAGTAGTCTGCTCTTGCTTTCACCACCACTCCCGTTTTAAATTGAGGAATATTTCTGAAAAATGACATATCTGTCAGGAGAATTAAATTATGGGTTTTAATTACTTAGTCAACAGACTACATTTTATCTGATTGTGACTAGAATTTATGTGATCAATTTAACTTATTAAATAGTCATATACTGTAAACACTAAACACAGGTTACCACAATAAAGTAAATAAATAAGTAAAAAAAATATATCTCTCTTAAAATAAATATGATAGAAACATTTTAGCAGAGCATCTGTCACTTCCCCGAGGAGAAATTCTGTGAAGTACTTTGGCTATAAGAGACTACTATAAGAAAACCACTTAGCAATCATTACCAAAACTGTTTTTGAGAAATTAATATGACTAGTAAATTTCTTTAGTACATTGTTTTGAACTGCTCACATTGTCTTTTAATCAAAAAAGAAGTGGTGAACTGTCCAGCTTGGAACTATAACTTTCAATCTAAAGTATTCTGAATGTCAATTTTTACCAATTCACCCATGTGGTTCTCCTTTGGCTATGCTGGGTTCTAATGAGATGCTGACTTTCGGCAGCTCAACATGGTCATTACTAGGGTTAACCGAACATTTGCTGGTCTGAAAACACTCCTAAAATAAAAATTATAATAAAAACTTTAAGTATCATCTTTCCTTTACATTTCTCTTTTTAGGGTTTCTTGGAAATAAATGCTTACGGATCCACTTGGTGCTGGGCTGTAGGAAATCTTAGGAGGCACACCCCGTAGGAGGGGCCCAGCATTAACCATGCTGGGTGGAAACCAACCACCTCCTTTCAAAATAGCAAGTTAATTTTTACAATGTTGTGGTGTCACCACATTAACAGTTAAGATGGAAGTGATTTTTCCACCCACATCTTGTTGGATGCATGTGTCCATCAAACGTGTGGTTGAAGGACAAGGAAGGCGAGGCACCCTTCAGTGAGCCTCTCTCTCAAGCACAGAGCCACGAAAAAGACACTTCACCTTCAGGTAAAGTGCTGTGACTTTTTAAATGAGGGCTGTACGCTCAAAGTGTTTTGCTTAAAAAACAAAACAGGCATTAGTAAACAACTGGAAGTGTGGCTGTTTCTGGAATGCTATTTACAGAAATGCTGTTTGTACTACTGGCGACAAGAAGACTAAACAGTTGATAGAGAATTTCTACTTTGGACAAGTATGCATTTACTTGTCTGTGAGGATTCTACTGTAAGTTTCCATCTGCTCATCCAGCTACTCGGTGTCCTTGAGGTCCTCTGGATCCGAGTTACTAGAGATGTCATCATCCGTCTGTTCTCCGGAGAAGTACAGCATCAATGCGTGTGTCTTGTGAGTGATGGTGACAGTGCAGGGCCCTTGGGCCCACGGCTCCCCATCCACCTGCATTGGCATCATCGAGCACTTCAAAATCAGCTGGGATTTGGGGACAAAGAATTAGAAAAGTCAGTCCCAAAAAAGTTCGGAAAGGTCTTCCTTAATAACATCATCCACAGTCCTTTAACCCTCTTTAGGGACATTGCTTAGCATTTCTTTCTGAGAAAATTAATCTGAATATATTTTTATTCCTTGATTGTTTACAGGATTCTTTCTACTGAACACTTATTTCTTCGGCTGGATCGAGGGCCCCATTTCCCGTTTCTTCCCTGTCCCGCTCAAGCCCCTGGCGCAGGGTGATCAACAGCATGGGGTGTAAACCACTGGCTAAGGAAAGCTACAGTGTATGTATTTTCCCTGCCGATCAAGGACTTAGAAATGGCCCGGCCTGGTGGCCTGTCAGGGCCCTTCACCTACCCGCACTGTGTGGGCCTGTCCTATTCGAAAAGGGTTTGCCAGTTTCACTTGAATCTGGGCGCAGTGGAAAGACCCATATACTCCAACCACCTCCAGTAAACCGTCGTCATGCCTAAACGCAGAAAGACGGAAGATGGGTTATACGATGCAATGAAATAAAATCAGCCGCGTTAGGACAGCTGTTTTTTTAATGTAAGCGGGCCATCAACTTATTAAATATGTATATTAATGAGGTATATAGAAAAGGAAATCTGAGAAAAAAAGAACAGCCTGCTCAAAAGCAGAAAACAGTGACATAAAAGTGACATAAAGAAAACAGTGACGTAGAACAACAGATCGCAAATGTACATACCTGGCTAGGGGGTAAGTCTCGTCTCCCATCCCTTCCCATAGTCTGCAGCCGCCGCCCCAGTATCCGATGTTCAGAACTATAATACCTTCCAAATTAGGCAGCTCTACTCGCTCACCATCCAGCTCTAGCTTTAAAGAAATCCAAGCAGTTAGTTACTACAGGGCACACGACTTGCAGACATATCCACTTAGAATTCACCTCTATTTTCATGTAAGTGAGATGTGAGGGATGCACATGTAACAGAAGACTAACCTCACTCAAGGTGATCTGGCCTTTCCCACCAGTTCAATGTTTATTATAATCAAAGAGTTATAATAAATGGATTTTTCCCCCAAGGTCATCAATCACATCCTTTCTGTTAAATCCCATTATTTTTCAGGCCTTCTCTGCCTTGCTGTTTCAGTGGCTCCCTCCTTTCCTGAAATACTCTTCCTTTGCTGCCTGGGAACCAGCTGCTTCTCTGGATGTTCCTCCTTGCTCCTCACTGAGCTCCACTTCCTGCTCATGCTGACGTCATCCCTCAGAACAATCCACTAAGTTCCTTCTTCTCTTCCTGCCACAGACTCCGGAGGAAAATCTTAGCCGTGTCGGTGTTAACTGCCGTCTTTGTGCTGAGAGATGTTTTGCTGGTCCAGGAGACTGAACGGGGCCAGATCTGTATATCCAAACTGTCCACAAAACGCTTCCCACTGACTGTGGCATCTAAAGCCCGATGTGCAAAACTGAGTTAAGCACCTTCTCTGCAACCCCCTACCAACCAACCTACCTCCCAGAGAAGAGTAGCGCCAACCTCCAGGTTGCCTAAGCCAGGAACTTGGGGAGTTCTCTGACTTCTTTGATGTTACCCTCCATATCCAATTAATCACTACACACTCGATGCTACTTCTCAGTACCTAATCCTCCCATCACTCCTGGTGGCATCCTTGCCCAGCACGCCATCCAGCTATACTCCCCTCTCAGTCCTCTCATAGAGCAGTTGGATTGGCATTTGTAAAATGCAAATATGTCATCCCCCAATTACAACCCTTCGAGGGCATGACTCTGCTCCGGAAATCCAAGTTCCTTAACGGACCCCTCTGTGACTTGGCCTCTATCCATGCCTCTAGCTCAGCTCTTGTCACTTTCCCTTTTGCAAACCATGCTCCAGCTCGAACTCACTTGAATATGCCATGTTCTCTCTTGCCCTTGGGCCTTTGCACATGCTGTTCGTAGCCCAGAACAATTTCCACCTCCTTTTTCACTTAGTTAACTCTTAATTTTCAGATTCCAGCTTGTCACTTCTTCCAGAAAGACTTCCTTGTTACAGTCACTTTCCCTAGACTGTTGCGCCAGCCCCTGGGTTAAGCATCTCTTATTTATTCCTATAAGACAGCGTGCTTTCCTCATCACATAACTTCTCACACTATATTGCGATGAGGCTTACATGTCTGTCTTCTCTCTAGACTGTAATTTAGTAAGAACGAGGGATTTATCGCTGTATCCCCAGTGCCTAGGACAGTGCCTGGCATTTTGTAGATGGCTTCACAAATGTTTTTGTATAAATATTGGACAAAAAAATAAGGCACTACCTCTTGTGTTTCACTCTACCAATGCTATCAAAGCCCAAGACAGAGGAAGTATGACAAAGCAGAAGGAAGCCTTTTTAATGGACAATCCTGCCATTCCTCTGTTCTGTGGCTGCACAGGCTGACAGCTCTTCCCTTTTGACTCATTTTACTAGTTCTAAGTTTCTCTGTATTAATGTCTTTGTCGGTGCTATTAACCATTACAGATTCTTTTTGGAAGCAAGCAAGGAATACATACATAAGACTTTGCCATTTTATGATGTCAGGGGTATTGTAGCAGTAAGCAATCATTAATATCCTTGTTTTTACTATTCATTCATTTTTATTTTGTAAGAGAGATGTATCACCACCATAATATGAATTAAACTTAGGGTTTAAACCTCCTCTGAGAGTCCATGATGAGTCAGGCACTGTGTTAGATAACTTCACACTAGTCAGCATGTATGAATGGAAACTGTTTAGCATGAGTTAAACAGACTCTGGAGTTATATAAACCTGGGTTCAAATCCTGATTACGTGTGTATTTGGGCAAATTACTTAATTTAGTGGGATAATGTGTATAAAGTAGTGTCAGGCACACAATAAAGACTTCATATGTGTTAGAAAAATGTATCAATAGAAAATTCAGCACTTTTGTTATAACCCAGANTTCATATGTGTTAGAAAAATGTATCAATAGAAAATTCAGCACTTTTGTTAAAAAAATCATAACCCAGGGACTACCTAAACTTTAAAAACTTACCTCAACTTTTTTATTCAAGTCTTTACATTCTTGCACTAAACAATCTTTGGTTCCATAGAATAAGTAAACAGCCTATGAGAAATGAACAGAAAATACGATATTAAAGCAACCTAACAAGCCCTGTAAGCAAGAAAAAGACACAGTACCAAAGCTCCTAACACGAGGGCTGAGTCACGTTTCCTCAGAGTGGGTTAGACACTGTGGGGAGAGGGGCACCGTTACTTTTGAGTTTAGCCTGCTTTTCAGGGAGAATATGGGATAGAAGTGGTTTGTGCCTAAACGGTGTTTTCTCCCAGTTTATCAAAAAAGCTACATTTCATACAGAAATACTGTATTAAAATTAGAAAATTCCACCTTTTTCTAGAGCTTCAGATTACTTAAGGAAAGTAATACAGATAAATCTAGCGAACATTTTACAATCACTTTTGAGTATAAAAAGGTTGATTGAGAGCACTGAAAATGTTAATTACCAATTATATAAACAGTAATACTTACTGCCTTAGTACCTACATTAATAGAGAAAACTATTTGTAACTTTGAAATAGCTGTAAAACAGAACCAGGAACAAAATTGCTTTGCATTTGTTTTTCACACCCTACTGCTCAATACCAAGTCATTAAAAAAAATCCAAGACAGAGCTTCCACCAAAGGAATCACCTGTACTAGGAACCAGAGCCTGTTCTTGGTTAGAGGCGTGGTACACGAACTGCTCCTTCTCTTCCCTTATCTGCTGTTTCAAGTCTTTTCCAAGCCAATGAAATCTATTTTTCCATTAACGACTTCACCAAAAATGTACCCTGCCTAAAATGTCTTTCCAATGTCAGTTGCCATTTAAGATAAGCTACTGTATATTCCACTTAGTTGCCCTCTAAGCAAAATATGTTGTAAAACATTCCAAGTTTAAATTTAAAAGATTCGGCCATAGTTATAAATAATCTAATTTGACAGTGGTCCACAAAACAGAGCAGGCCAGTGTCTCTCTAAGGTAGGCTGTCCGAGTCTACTTGAAAGGGTGCTAGATAAAACGGAACTATTGATTTTTACTGTACCTTTGGAATAAGCAGGAAATGTTATTTTATCCAACACACCTTATTAAGAATTCTGCTAGAAAACAGAGATGGTGCCTTCTCGCGATGAGCGTGAAAATTAAGAGCCATGAGCGCGTCAGGTCCGACCGAAAAATAGTTGTTCATTGTGAACTCCTGTGGAAAAGGGTAAGAATTAGCAGCAGAGTATGCTTCAGCCTAAGCCCGTGTCACGTATTCAATATGTAAATCTGTCTTCATGCTCTTTGTGACAATTTACTGCTTTCTGCATTTACTTTCTGCATTTACAGAGCTATTTTATGCTATTCAGTGACATTTCCAGAAACGAAGCTTCAGTTCAAAGGCTGATAATTATAGATGTGTTTCCCTTTCCATTTCTGTTTAATAGGCTACATCTCAGATCTCATCATCTAGAATGGCTCTACTTTGCACCGGGCTTTCCACTCCTGTGTTCCTTCCTGTTACATTTGCTTCTATCAGTCTCAACCCAGGCTACTGGGACCCCCTTAGTTTACCTGACCTCCCAGCCCAGCTTGGATTCCTCAACCTACATCTCTAGCCCTGTCCTGTTCTGAGCAATAAGCCTGAACGTCCAACTTCTTGTTTAATGCACCACAGCCCCAAGGTTGATACGCTCAACATCCAACTCATATTCTTCCAACTCAAACCTGAAACTATTTTTCTTATCTTAATGTCATTTCCATACACCCAGTCATATAAACTAGAAATCTCACAGTCATATGTATTTTTTCTTCCCCTACCACCAGTTGGGTGCCAAGTCTTGATCAATTCTACCTCTAAAATGTCTCTGAACTGTCCTCACCCTAACATTCCCCTTGTTTTGCCCTTGTGCAGGTTTCTATTTGCTAACCATGATTTGTATCCTCTGGTCTCTATTTCTTCTGCCTGGGAAGTTCTGATCCTTTCTCTGCTGATCTAAATTGTATTTATCTTTTAAGGACGAGCTCACGTGTGACCTCCCCTGAAATCCTTCTAGCCTGATCTTCCAGAGCATAATTGAGCACTGGTTCTCTCCCACAACACTCTGTATAGTCCCACCTGGGAGTTGTGCCCCACTCCCAAGCACATGGCATCTCCTCTGCTCCATAACCAGCTCCCCAAAGAGAAACACCACGTCCCTGTGCCCCACGAGTGCCACGTCTCATACTGTGGAGGCTCTCCATCACGTTCGCCAAAACTGCTCCCAACTGAAGCCCTAAAACCATACCTTGGGTTTTCTCAGGTTGTAGTATCCTTTATTTGTTACTTGAACTTTCCATCTAAAAAACAGAAGTTAAAAAAATTTGTGATAATTTCCAAATTATCTGCCAATTAACTATAATTACCACCAATCAACTCTGGGTGCCTGGGAGATGAGGTCCTTCTATTAAAATAGCATTTGAAAAAATAAGCACATCTGTGAGGATGCAAATTCTGAGACAATTATTCAGCCTCACTTATGACTTCAGTCCTTACATAACAAGATTACGACAACAAAATCAAACACCAGCATCTACATATAAGTACAATACAATCTTTCACTTTTAAATTACATTTAACTTTATACCTTACATAAGACTTCATAAACCAAATAATACTCTCAAAGCTCAAAAATCTACCTTTTTGGGGAAGCGTAACTTACCGGTCCAGTTTAATGCCCTCTGCGTCCATCACATTCCGTAAGACCTGGGCGACCGGGATTTCCCCCGCGTAACTCGTACCCCAGCCCAGCGTGTTGGAGAGATCGTTGCCTGTTCCCAGAGGCAGGACTGCAACTTGTGGAATGTACTTTTCTTGCCCCTGGAATATGGAAGGCGAGTTTAGACTTTTCTCTTCCATTTGTAGAGTAATAACATTTGGTAAAACTTAAAGACCAAAGCAATAAAGGTACAGATATAACAACTGTATGTTGTTTAGCTAAAGTTTATGCTAACTGCTTGATCATGACATTCCAAATCAGTAATGTCTTCTCATATTCATCTGCATGACAAAAAGTAGAACGAAAAGGCCTAGCTATCGCAGCAGTGCTTCTGTGCAAGGCAGGCTCTTGGCCTCACTTGACTTTTCGCTCGGGCCNTAATGTCTTCTCATATTCATCTGCATGACAAAAAGTAGAACGAAAAGGCCTAGCTATCGCAGCAGTGCTTCTGTGCAAGGCAGGCTCTTGGCCTCACTCGACTTTTCGCTCGGGCCGAGAGGCCGATACCTTGATCTTCATGTCGTCCACGGCATCCAGCACCCAGCCCACAGTCCCATCCCCGCCGCAAACCAGCACTCGGGCCGAGCGGTGGGGAAGCAGGGCGCAGAGCTGCAGGGCTTTGAGAGGGGGCGTTTTCGTTACATCAAAAACCTGGGAATGAAAGAAAAGACAAGCTCATTTGGATTTGACACCGTCCTCCACCTGCGAGCCTGACTTCCCTCTAGGTTAGATAACAAGGCTGGCTACAGCGCGTTCACCTGTCATAATACGCCAGGCGCCGCGCCAGACTTTCCTTTTCCTTTGCGTCTCTTATATCTCTTCGCCCAGCCCCCCAGCTCCCCTCCCACCTGGCGACCATCAGGTTGTTCTCTGGATCTATGAGTTTTTGTTTAGTTATCTTGATCTTTAGTTCACATGTAAGTGACACCCTGGGGCGTTTGTCTTCCTCTGCCTGACTGATTTCACTCAGCATAATACCCTCTGGGTGCAAGCCCTCCCTCTTTCCCGCGGCTGTCACACTGCACTGCACCCAGGCACCGCTTCCTGACCCCCTCATCTCCGATGGACACTCAGGCCGCTTCCATATCCTGCCTATTGTGAATAACGCTGCAATGGACATACGGGTGACTCTCTTTTCAAATTAGTGTTTTGGATTTCTTCGGGTAAATACCCAGAAGTGGAATTATGCCGNTTTTCAAATTAGTGTTTTGGATTTCTTTGGGTAAATACCCAGAAGTGGAATTATGCCGGACTCTCTGCATTTACTGTGGCTCATCCCGACACCGGCCCTACAAAGTACGAATAAGCCTCGTTCTACTGGCCGGGAAATCGAGGCCCAGGAAGGTTAAATCACTTCCCGCGATTCCCAAGAATTAAGTGCTCCCAGAGAGATGTAGCCCGCCGGGCTCCTGTTACGCACGACCTCCTTCCTGTTCACACGGAACTGGAACGTGCTAAGTACGCCTTTTATTAGTGCTTCATATTTTATTCTGCATTTTTAAGAACCATCACTAGTGCTAGCACACATTTTTGGAAAATAAGTTTGCAATATGCATAAATGACAAAGATGCAAGATCTTTCATCTCTATAATTCTGTAAATGATCTAGGAAAACATTTTAAAAGAGGAAAACAGCATATAAAGGTATTTAATATGGCGTTTTTTATAATTGTGCAACCTTAGAAACAAACTCAACCTCCAACAGCAGCAGGAGACTGGGTAAATATATTATGATTTATCCATCTGATTAATTATCTTAGCCGATACATATATGACTCTGCAACATAAAAAAATNAAAGATGCAAGATCTTTCATCTCTATAATTCTGTAAATGATCTAGGAAAACATTTTAAAAGAGGAAAACAGCATATAAAGGTATTTAATATGGCGTTTTTTATAATTGTGCAACCTTAGAAACAAACTCAACCTCCAACAGCAGCAGGAGACTGGGTAAATATATTATGATTTATCCATCTGATTAATTATCTTAGCCGATACATATATGAGGACTCTGCAACATAAAAAAANAACCTCCAACAGCAGCAGGAGACTGGGTAAATATATTATGATTTATCCATCTGATTAATTATCTTAGCCGATACATATATGACTCTGCAACATAAAAAAATATTTATACTTTCAAGAAAACAGAATGCAAATCTGCATCTAGACTACTGTTCTAGTCATGCTAATGAAATGCACAGGCAATTCATGCAAAGAACATGGGCAAATGAAAACATCTGCTGTATTTTTGTGGGAAACGGCAGGCGATTTTCTCTTCCCTTTTTTTAACTTTTATAATTTCAAGATGTATAATGTTAAAAGGGAAAGATACAAATTGGAAGGAAAGTCAGTGCACTGTTGCACAGCGAGTGGGTTGTTCAGTTTTTCAAAGCAAAGCTGCTAGCCTGTAACCTTGATCTTAATGGCTGATCCTTTGACCCTTATTTTTAATGAGGTTTAATTTACATATAATGAAATTCACCCACATCAAGTGAACAATGACATGATTTTTAGGAAGTTCACTGAGCTGTGCCACCACCACCACGATGCAGCTTAGAACTTTTGTTGCTCCAGTAAGATCCTTCAGTGTCCACATGCAGTCACTTCCGATGTCCTACCTCAGGTGACCACTAATGCACTGTTTCTACAGATCTGCCTTTTCCAGGCAGATCCCATAGATCAAGTCATACAATCTAGGCTCCTTGCATCTGGCTTCTTAGACCGTTTCTACTTTTTTGGCTATAATGCTGCTATGAATATTTGCATGAAAGTCTTTGTGAAAGATATGTTTTCATTTCGAATCTACCCAAGGGGAAGTTTGTATGGTAAATATATGTTTAATTTTTTAAGAAAAAGCCTGTTATCTAATGTGGCTGCACCACTGTACATGCTCACATGAGTTCCTCTTTCTCAATCCATTCGAATATTCTGACACTTTTATAATTATTATTCTTTCCTATAACTAGGTGATTGCTGGTTTAAAACATTAATAACCATTACAATTTAGGGGAAATGAGAAGCTCAAGTAAAAAGATTAACACGGAGGGAAGGTCTGCTCCTGTTACCTGGACGGGGTTTAGAAGGATCCTGAACTCCCCCAGCAGCCCCTCTCCCATGTTGGTCCCACTACGAGAGTTGGCCAGGACTATCAACGGGGTCCACTGCTTTCCGAGCTTGGAGGCCAGCTGAAAAATGAAGGTGAATGGAAAGGGTTCAAGCTCTCAAAGCCGCTCAGCAATCCATTTTCCATTTCTTTCCCCTTTATTGCATTTACTGGGGCGACACTGGTTAACAAAACTACACAGGTTTCAGGCGCACAATTCCACAGCACATCGTCTGTACACTGCACTGTGTTCACCACCCCAAGTCAAGTCTCCTTCCATCACCATTTATCCCCCCGTACCTCCCCACTCCCCCCTAATTTTTCATTTCTTGATAGCAGAGCGCTGTAATTTGCTGAGAAAAACAATTATCCCAGCACAATCGATACAATATAAATCAAAGGCTTCTAAGAATGGAAGGGACCTTAGAGAGAAACCAACAACTCCCACTTCACGCACAATTCTCTTCTACTCTACTCTAGCTCAGTCCTCCAGCGTACGCTTGGGTACTCAGGTGAGAAGGAACGCACTCGCAAGGCAGCCCATTCTCCTGCTAAATCAAGTCATTAGAAAGTTTTGACTTCAATTGAATTAAAAATCTGTCTTTCAATGACTTTTACTCATTATTCTAATTTTGCTTTCTGAAGCAACTAGAAATAACTTCATTTGTTTTTCCATATAACTGCTGTGCTCAAACACTTGAAGCATAACACCTTTTATTAGTCTTGTTTCCTAGACAACACATTTCAAGTTCTTTCAACCGTTCATAGAATGGACATTGACTTTCTCTGCTTTTACCTTGACTGTCCTTTTCTGGACGCAGTCTAATATATTTTAGTTTGCAAGTCTTTCCCCCCCCCAAAAGGGGTACTCAGAAATAGATTCAAGAATGCAGATTTGTACAAAGCCCCAAGTCAAATGAAATTAATGTTTTTCTAACAATTTCTTTCCTCTCCCCTTCTGTGGATGTAAACACTAATGGACTTGTTCTGTGGCTTTTCTTAGTGATTCTCACCCCTTGTTATTTCAGATTTCAATTCAGATACATAGGGATTTGTACACTTATTATTTTTAAATTATTAGTTATTATTATTTTTAATCCTCACCCAAGGATATGTGTTTTAATTGACTCCAGAGAGAGAGGAAGGGAGAGGAAGAAAGAGAGAGCCACATCCACCAGGGCTAGGGGTTGTACATTTAAAAATACGTATCACAACAATATTAAACATAATGTTTTTTAAAAAATTTAAAATGCCTTTCTTTTGCAGGAATATTGACAAAGATGACAGACATTTAAGCTATAAAATTCTAATTTGGGAAAGACACAATTTAACTTTAAAATAAAATAGTTTAACTATTTTGGCATATTCAAGTAGGAAATAAATGCAAATTTTTATAGTTATTTCTTAAGAGTTACATAAAGACTGAGAAACACATTTACATCAATTTTCATACACAAACATACTGTAAAGTGCTGTCAACACCTTTAATGTTTAACATTATTTGTGGGACCACATCACGCACAATGTAAACGCATCTCTAGGCACCCTATGTAAATTCCCAATGGAAAAATTCTCCCAGAACAATGTGTGAGGAAATCTATGTTTTCCTTTCACTGACGATAATCATGAATCCCAAACGTGGCTGTCCCGTCAAAATAATCTGAGGACCTTAAAAAAAGATGGATTCCTGGGACCTACCTACTAAATCAAACACGGTGATGGAGGTGGGTTCAGGAACCTGTATTTTTACAAAGCTCCCCAAGTGATTCAGAAGCAGGCAGTAATTTAGAAACCACTAATATAACATTTCCAATTTCCTTTTAGACTTGAAAGAACTCAAGAGCCAGAATGTGTGGCACACCTATGGGAACTGGGTAGGGTTTTATGGTTTACCATAACGATTCTTCTCATGCACACACAGCTCTAATCGCCACACTGGCTTAGCCACTTTCTGCGGTCAATTACACAGGGACAAATGAACTCTGATTACCATCGCATAATCTGTCTTTTTGTCTTTACGCATCTGATTAATAGAGGTTAAATAACTTGGTGGAATGATGAGGTTTCTGAATTCTCCAAAATCACACTTTTCATTCTTCAAGCTGTTTCTCATGCACTCATCATGGACAGTTTTTTGACACCAAATGCACCTGGGGGGACGAAGAACCAAAGATAATAATGAATAATTTAAAACCATAATCTTACTGATCTGCAGACCCATCATTTTTGTCCAAAAAAATTAAAACAGTAATTTCATCACTGTTGAGCATAAAACCTGGCAAATAAAAGATTTATAACAGAATCTGCACAGTGAAACCAGAGCAATCAAGTTTGAACATACCTGACAGTTTAACGGTGGTTCTTAAAGGGTGGCCTAGGGCCCCCAAGAGCCCTTGAACCCCTGTGAGGTTCAAATTGTTTTAATAATAATAATAATGCGTTCTTTGACCCTCATTCTCTCAAAAGTGTACAGGAGAGTTTCCCAGAAGCTGTATGACACATGCTGCAGCAATAAACTGATGCAGAAACAGGAGAATCTAAGCTGACTTCCAAGCCAAAGAGATGTACCAAAAATATAAAATGAACGGCACTTTTCTCCTTCAATTTTCATTTAATTTATTTTGATAAAAATACAGTATTAATGTTACCCTGATAAATCTTTTAAAAACTAATATTTAAACAAGTTCTCAGTTTTAATTTATAGCATGATAAATATCGATATGATCCACCTAAAGAAAATCTGATCTAGAACAATGGTTCTGTGTATTATTTATTTGTGCTCTGGTTGAATTAGGTTCATGATGCCCCACTGGCCTGGGTCTTAGAAGTATTCCTCAGGTTCCAATTTGAAAATATCTTCACTTATATAACCTTATGTGAATACTAGTAAATATAGTAAAATAGCCCATTTCTTGTTGGCAGTTAATACAGAACTAATCTGTATGTCTGCATCTGAAATAGAGACAGAAGACATGTGCATTCAGATTGGCCTCTATGTTTGGATCCATGTGTGGAGCCAGCAGGGAACAGTGCTGGTCAAGGTCTTGGGTTTCTATCATTAATCTGCTCCGTAGTTTACCCTCTCACAGATAAGACAGCTCTGACTTCACGCACAAAAGCAGGCCCTCTGAAAATAGTAGTCAAAGTTAAATGAATAATTTAAAAAAAGAGGATAATTACTCTTTCACCCCAAGATCAACAATTTTGGCCTTGTATTTTAAGGCTGTCTTTTCCAGTTGGATGTTCAGATTTGTCAAATAACCACTGCTATTTACTGCTGAGTTATCTGCATGATCTGTTAAAGAGAAAACTATAAAATAACTTGCTCGAAAGCCTTTCTTGGTACTTGCTTTCAAACTATAAAAGATGGCTTCTGCAGCTGACTATGGTACGTTGGCCCACTGCTCTGCTGTTAACTTTAAAATACTATGTTAACATTGAAAATAATCTGAGAGGACACTCACTGATGTATTTCACAGTGGTTTTCTCTGGGAAGCAAAGTGGGGCTGAGGCATGACAACATTCTTTATATTCTGTTGTAAACTGCTTGAGTCTCTAAAAACTAGAAGAGATTTGTGAACTACTTGTATGAATTTTTCAGTTGTATTTAAAATTAGATGATACCAGCTTACGCTTGAGAAAGCATAAGATAAAATTCATCCAGAGATAGTTGCTCGAACTTTTTGATGTGCTTACTTCCAGTTTTACATGCATAAATGTTTGCTTTTCAGGTTAGGGATATGATATATACATCTGGATAGTACTTTTTTCCTTCCCACATTGTATAAGGAATATGGTCTATGCCATTACATGGTTTTTAAAAACATGGTTTGTAAAGAATAAATAATATCATATGGACACACCATAATTTATTTAACCCCCTTTCTGTTTCCCCCCCAAACATTTAGATAGGTTATTTTTCTAACTATAAATAACACGATGAACAACCTTAAACATAAATGAGATGTTTTCCCGGACTCTTAGAAGTCAAGTTACTGAATCTCAGGCCATGTATTTTTCCAAGGTTCTTGATATGTCTGTCCAATAGGCTTGTCAGTGCATGAAGGTGCCCATCACATCTAACACTTGCTAATATTGCTCATTAGGACTTCACATTTTCTCTTCGATAACTTGATTGACAAAAAAGTATTTTGTTGTTTTTATTTGGATGTCTTTGATAACCAGGCGAGGTTGAATTTTTTTGCCATCTTTTGTGAACTGATTCATGCCCTACATTTTAATAAATGCATGTACTTTTTATTTATGTAGGATATCAACCTCTCTCCTGTCACATTTACCGATACTAGTTTCAGTTTCTTTTTAAAGTTACTCTTTAATGAACTTAAGTTTATTTTTTGATAGAGAGGTCTATATTTCCTTTTGTGGTTTATTTAAATGCCTTTATGCTGTGAAGATCTATACTTCTGCTGCCTGATTTTGAGAATAAAGTTTTACTGGAAAACAGCCACACCCATTCATTTATGTATTGTCCACAGCTGGCTTTGTTCTATGTTGGATAGTAGGGTTAAATTATTATCACAGACCATATGGTCTGTAAAACCTAAAATAACTTAGTTTTGGCTCTTTACAGAAAAAGTTTGCCTGCCTCTCTTCTAAAAGATGACCGTTATCTTTCACTGTTTCAGATAATTAATAAATTGCATAAACACACCAATAGAACAGGGAAATATAATATTTAAGGTCAAAGCCGAGAGTAAAGCTGCTTAAGAAATTACCTTCCAAGAGTCAGAAGCTTTGTTTTATGAATCACAGTGTGCGTTGGGGGGGTGGGGAGTGGAGTGGGATGTAATGAAGAAAAGCCTTATAAATAAAAAGGCATCTTACATTTTCTTTTTTTCCCTAAATTTAAAAAAAAAAAAAAGTCTTTTATTGATTTCAGAGAGAGGAAGGGAGAGGGAGAGAGATAGAAACATGAATGATGAGAGTCATTGATTGGCTGCCTCCTGCACGCCCCCTACTGGGGATTGAGCCCGCAACCCGGGTATGTGCCCTGACCAGGAATCGAACCACGATCTCCTGGGTCCTAGGTTGATGCTCAACCGCTAATCCACGCTGGCCGGGCCATCTTACATTTTCTTAACGGGACAGAACTCTGTAAGGAACAAAGGTTTATTTAATAAATGTAATGAATACTTAAAAATAAAACCGAATTTCCTATTTTAGGTGAGAAAAGAGGTGAGAAGATAAAAGTATAAGGAAGGAGTGATAAGACACTAGGTGCAGAAATACTTTGTAGTCGTTGGGAGTAGAGGCAGGAAAACACGCAAAAAAAAGTCTACAGGAACGTAAGAATCCAGCATAGCGTGTGGCACAAAACAGATGCTTACTATGTGAAAACTAAATACTGACTGATTGAGTATAAATTAAAGGGCCTTTGTCACTTATCTGCAGAGTTTAACTGGGCTGGAGGCTTTAAGATCACGTATTGCCTGTCATTCTCACCCTTTGAAATGCTAACTTGTACAGTTTTCGTAGTTCTTTTAAAACCTCAGACTTCCCAAGAATAGGAGCCCCCCACGGTGCTTGATAAAATCCAGAGACAGAGAGAGACAGTCTGGCCTGTGTTTAAAAGTTCTAAATAGATATTTATCTTGTTTCTCTTTCTCAAATATTTCATTCCCACAGAAGGTCATAACTGACTGGAATCCTGACTGCAACAGCTAATTGTAATTGAATACAATGATTGGCTAAAATAAATCAGAACATTGCTGAATACATACCATTTCAGGACACTGTGCTCTTTTCTCCTGGGAATAATAAACCCTTCCTAAATTATACAGAAATAATTTCCACCATGGGTGAAATAATTTCTAGCATGCCTGGGACAGACTGCTCAGTACTAGTAAGAACAAGCTAATGAGGAAAAGATCTATCAGCACAAACACTCATTGTGCTCAAGGGGATGGGGAGGGGACACAAGATTAAGGATAGAGGCTCATATTTAAAAAGCTACATAAATATAGCAGTGGTTCTCCAACTTTAGAATTACCTGCAGGGCCTGTTAAAGCCAAGGTTGCTGGTCCCCAGGCCAAGTTTCTGAATCAGTGGGCCTAGGGTTGCCAGGAAAATAGAAGATGCTCAGTTAAATTTGAATTTCAGATAAAGAAATACTTTTTTGGTATAAGTATGTCCCAAATACAGCAAAAAAAATTACTTTTATTTTATTTTGATCGCTAAATCTGGCAACCTTAGAATTTGCATTTCCAACAAGTTTCTAAGTGCTGCTGCTGCTGGTGGTTCTGGGGACTTTGAGAACCACCGAGAAACAGGATATTATGTCATCATTAAGAGGGAAAATGTTGGGAGTGGAGGTGAGTAAATCAGGCAAGAGTTCCTGGAGAAAAGGGTCCAGGTGAGTCTTTAAGGATGCCCAGGAGAAGGATGCTTAAGACAAAGAGGAAAGCCTTGAGGAAAAAAAAAAGCCTGCCTGATGTTGCTGGTACATAAAAATTTAATGCAGGTGGAGGCAGGTAAGACTGAAAGGACAGGCGGGGTCCAGAGAGCATGTAGGACCATGCTAAGCACTTCGAGTTTACACTGAAAGACCACCAGTGTATATGATGGGAACAACCGAAGGGTTTTAAACAGAGCAGGTACTCTGTCTGATATGAATTTCTAGAAAGATCATTTGGATGGACGATCAGAGCACTATGTTTATTTGTGAAGGCGTGCTTGAAATGCAGTTAAGATACTTCTTGAAGCCATTTTTATCTAATTCTGCACAGGCACAAAAAGGGGAAGGAAATGAAACAATACTCCATTCATGCATCCTTTCCAACGAATCTCAGCTCTTGAAGACTAAAGCTTACCTACAGAGAGAACTATAAAATTTAAAGACACTGGTAACCTAGCTCTCACAAGTGCCAAAAGAACAACATCTAAACTTGAAACAGACCAAATAAAGATGGATGGTAATAAAACTTTGTAGTTATTTAAAATACGTTTTTGGGGAAAGTTTTCTTAAGTCTAACTCTGATAGGTAAAACTATTTAAAATAAGACTTAAAAATAGGTGTTGACCTAACAATGCTCACACTAATGTTTTTTTAAAAAAGGATTTTTAAATAAAGTAAAGAAAAAAAAAGTCACTTGCTATCCAGTGCCAACTTTCTACATCAGTACTTAAACATGCTTAGGGACCTTTCTACTTGTCAGAAATAAAACCCATCAATGAAGACATCCAGATTTAAGGTCAAGACAAAGCTATGTACTAACAACATTCCTAACCCTGTCCAGGGGGTTAGAATTCTATTTTACCACTGCATACAATTCTCTCAACTATAAAATGAGTTAGAGTAGATGATCTGCCAAGCACCATCCCCTTTTATTACCCATCTTTAACATGACCTTCGCCAATTTTCAGACATTTAAGAACACAAATATGTTGTTCAGTGTCTATTTAAAAGCCATTAAAATGTTCTTAGCTTAGTCAAAGTCACTTATCTAAGATGCTATATGTTCTGAAAGATCACTGACAAAAGGAGTATACCTTTAAGTGTTGTATGTCACTATGGCATCGATACCTATATTCGAAAAAGGTGCTTAAAGTGCTGCTTTGGAATGCCACTTGTCTTCCTTGTACAGTCATAATACAACACTGAGCATGAATCAGTGTTTTGACTCTAGGGAAAAGTTAACTTGTCCATACTTCATTTTTTTTCCCTTACCTAAAACGGAAATAATAGCAACAAAAGCTAAACTATAACATACAGTGGCCACGAAGCATGCAGCATTTAGAGACCTCTGGATGAAAGTTAAGAGCCTACAAAACAGCAGACAGAAGGACAGGTTGGCTGAGGAGCCTGGCTAGCATCATCTCAGCAGACTGTTGCAAAGCTGCCCGGCATGTACAATACCAGGGACGCTTAGTAGCTTGTTTCCTCCAAGCGGGCCCTTCAGGCCGCTTGCACAGATAGAGCAGGCCTCTACGCCCACGCCCTAAACCATCCTGGCTCCTCCCGCGCGCGTCGTGGGGACAATCAGTACCCACAAGGCCATACCTGTAATCGCAGAGCTTAGGCTGACTGCCGCACTGCTGCGTGCAGACCACGCAGCAGCTGCACAGGGGGACGTTGCCCCGGATCCAGTGGTGAGGCATGGCGTCCAGGGCCCTGCCGTCGCTCTTGAGCACGATCTCCTTGCACTGGAAGCGCTTGTCGGCCTTCCTGAGGCAGCCCTCGTCCACGCGCAGCCCGCAGCAGTCGCAGAAGGCGCCCTGCAGAATGTGCTGCGCGCACACGCAGCAGTAGGTGGGGTGGCTGAACAGGTCCGTGTCGTGCCACCCGTGCTTGCTCTTGCGGAAGATGTCCCTGCGGTGCAGCTGCCGGCGCGACCGCTGAAGGCTGCACCAGAGGGTGATGAACACGGGCAGTAACACCGAGCACAGAGTCCACAGGACCAGGTGCCCGTCGGCGAACAGGCCCGAGTAGGGCTCCGGCCGCTTCCCCGCTTCCATCTTCTCCAGGGTCGATTCCTAACCGAGAGACGCACAGGCCGGTCCGCCTCGG